CACTTTTTAAAAGCTGGTATTTTCATGGTGAAGCTTTATGGCCACGTGTTATAGAAGACAACAGTTTCCACTGACTGGATTTGAGAATCCCCCAAAGGGCAATGGAGGGACACAGGTTGGATATAAAGAAATTGCAACACACCATAAACAAGGGATTATACAAAAAAAGCAGTGTAAAGAAAGTCATTGGAAAAGTGTTTGACTCAAAAAAGATGACCCTGGCATGTAAACAGAGGGAGGAATAACTGGTAGAAAAAGCATATTCTTCCCTGGTATGCACATAATGTCAAGAGATCATGAAGAAGGCTTCTGGCCTTATGAATTGACAACTTGTGAATGGATTTATTCAGGGGTATTAGAAGCACATGAATTACCCAGGGATGGGCTGCAATTTGCACAGTTGGAAGATATATCCGTACTGGTCCATTGGAATATTAGAGTATATCAAATAAAAAAGTGGTTTAGAAAATAAGCATTCCTTGTTTCATTAACTTTTACTTGTGGTATCTAATTTAAAGAAATCATGTTAATTCTCTAATCACTTCCCCATAGTCTTCTAAAGTCAGTTCTTCATGATCTTTTTTTCTTGGAATTCATCCTAAATTTCCTAGGCTTAAAAAAGCTCAAATATTTTACTGACTCCTTTTGTCTTTATACCACATTCATTTCTTCCTGCAGTCTGAAGATTGAACCTTCCCTTATGAACTGTCCCATCACAGTTTAGTGAAAATGTTTGATACCATGACCACTCTGTTACTTATACAATATTCTGACCTGATAGTGTCTGACATCTGTGTCATGAAGAGGGAGATAAGTTCCTTTATCTTTTGTCCTGGACCTTTACTGGTTTTTCATTTCATCAAAGCTCAACATCCTTTTTAGCTGTCTTTTCATTTGCATTTTTATAGTTACTGTTTATACACTCTTGATTGTGCTTATTTTGCCCTTTATCAGTTCATTATTTTCCAGTATTTATTTGAATCCTTCATTTGTCATTTCTTTTTGCAAAATAGTGTTGTTATATTAATATCTCAGCTTTTTTCAGTCATTCCTCAAGCAGTAGATATCCATCTTATGCTTCCACAGAATGCTGCTATGAATATTTTGGCATATATTGGGCCTTCACTTTTTTCTTCCTTGGGAGTACATGCCTTGTAAGTGCATTACTGGGTTGAAGTATATAGAAAACCTAAATAAGTCCTCTCCACCCCCTCAAAATTCCAAATTAAAATCCTAAATGATTGGACCACTTCATGACTCCACCAGCTATGCCTCTTTTCCCATAGGACTATTAACATTGACTTTCCATTGCAATTGTCATGATGTGAGATAAAATTTTAGGATTCTTTTAATTTGTATTTCTTTCATTTTTTATTTTTTGAATTATATTTTCATATGGTCATTAATAGTTTGAAATACTTTTGAAAACATTCATCTTTTGACCATGTATTTATTGGAGAATAGTATTTGTGAGATGTGTATATATATAATATATATGTGTGTGTGTGTGTGTGTGTGTGTGTGTGTGCACGCGCATATATATATATATATATATACATATATACACATACACACACACACATATATATATAACTATATATAAAAGTTATTTTGGTTATTAGACTTTTGAGTGATATTTGTAGAATTTTCCCTACTCTGTTGTTTCTCTTTTACTTTTATTAGTGCAAAAACTTTAAAATTTTATTTAGTCAGAACGATCTTTCTTTTTATCTTCCATGTTTATATTCCTTTTGAGCTGTAATTTGTTGGATTAAATCTAATTTTTGCCAGATTGCTTTCTAGTTTTCCCAGTTCTGATAGAAAAAGTGACCCTTTCTTGAGTAATTTATGTTTGTTTATTTATCATGTGCCCATATACTATTTGCATTTATTCCTTATCTGGTCTGTTCAAGTGAATCATTTTTACTTTTTTAAAACTGATACCAAATAGTTTTATAATATCATTTGAGTATAACCTAACATAGCTTCATAATTTAGTTTGAATATAATATAATATAGTTTGAAGTCTGATAATGCTGTCGATGCCCCCTTCATTTCTGTATTTTCTCAATATTTCCATCAAGATTCCTGACCTTTTGTTTTTCCAAATCAATTTTGTTGTTATTTTGTTTAGTTTTGTCAGTTTTGATTGGTACAGCATGAAATCTGAAAATTTAGGTAGAATTTTCATTTTTATCATTGGAGTGTCCCAACTATATTTTGTAATAATTTTCACATAAATCTTGCATGTGTCATTATGGGCTAATTCATATTTCATTTTATAGTCATTTTGAGTGAATTTTCTCATTTCTTCCTTTTATGTTAGTGCTGCATAGAAATTCAGATGATTTTTGTGGCTTTATTTTACAATCACAATACTTTGCTGGAGTGATTAGCATAGAAATAGGGATTATCCCATCCTTTGTATCACCAGTGTCTAGCACTGTGCCTGGAACCTAGTTACCCAATTAATGCTTCTTTAATGTTTTGGTTAATTATTTCAGTTGCATATGATTCTTTGGGATTTTCTAAGTATACTGGGATGACCAGCAAATAGGGATGGCATTTCCTCTTTGCTTTTGTTCATCTTGTATTTCTCTAAGGAGTGCTTTGTAATTAAATTTATACAAGTATGGAGTCTGCTTTTGTAGATAAACTCCTGAATATTTTATACCTTTTGTAATTATTTTGAATAGGATTTCCCTTTCTATTATTTCCTCTTGGATCTTGTTATTATTATATAGAAATACTGTTGATTTTTGTGGGTAAACTTTGTAGCCAGTTTTCCTGAACCTATTGTCTCAGTTACTTTTGCCAATCCACTAGCGTTTTCCAAGTAAATTGTCATCAGATCTTTACATCTCTCCATCACTCTTCCCTTTCTCTTTCTGTCCTCTACACTTCTCTCCTGTTCCTGTTCCTTTCCTCCCTCATCTCCCCCTCCTCTTCTCCTTTTCTCTTCCAAACCTAGATCTTTTGTAGTCCTTAATTTTAGTGCCTTTCCTCAGAGATTATCTCTAGAGGCAGCTAGGTGGTACAGTAGATAGAGCACTGGGCCTAGTGTCAGGAAGATCCTAGTTCAAATATAGTCTCAAACATTCACTGGCTGTGTGACCCTTAACCTCTTAGTTACTTAAGCTCTGTTTGCCTCAGTTTCCTTATTGATAAAATGGGGATAATAATATTTACCTCCTAGGGTTGTGATAAGGATTAAAAGAAATATTTGTATGAGCGCTTAGCAAAGTTACTGGCACATAGTAGGTATCATATAAAAATGCTAGCATTCTTTCATTAATTCAGTCATTCTCCAACTCAGGCTTGCTTTGCTGACTGCCCCCTTTACTATTTCCTTGGCTTCTGGATGGCTTTTTGTTCAGTTCAAGTTCAGTTCGAGGATAGAAGAAGTAACTTTCTATAGCTTATTGGATATCTTTTTTTTAATATAAATTTATTTATTTTTAGTTTTCAACATTCACTTCCACAAGTTTTTGAGTTCCAAATATTGATAATTATTTTTCCTGGTGCAATTTTCAGATTTTTCCTGAAATAGGGAATTTCATCTGTCTGCCTTGGTGTAGGTCATCATTTTTACCAGAAGTTTTTGATTGACTATTAAGTATTAATATTGAGAATAAGTTAGTTCCAAGTTATTTGCATTTTTACAACTATGTTAACAGAATGAAAAGATTCACTAAGTTGGGAATATTAATTCTCAGAACAATTTGCTCTGTCTTTCACATCACATTAGAAAAAGGCAATTTTGTGGAGTTACATAAGATATTATAGCTCTGGGTGAACAGTGGTATGTAAAATTATCTGGATTTTTGAAAATACATTTGTCATTTTAAAGTTTGCTTTATTTTAAAAAATAAATTATTAAATATTTATAAATATTTAATACAAATTTATAAATAAAGTTATAATATGTAATTTATAAATCTAAATATAATTAGATATTATGAAGTATTGGTTTTTTAAATAATGTCTCAAATTTAAATAATGTCTCAAATTAAAAAAGGTTAAATTACCTTGTGGATTGAGAGATCAATGATACCTTAACATTCATGAGGTATAAATTCCTAAAAGCATCTTTCTAATGAATTTTTAATGTTGAATGTCTCTTGTTTTTTACATCATTAGTTTCTGAAGTGTACCCCTTTTTCCCCTAAAACCATTCTTTAAAACAAGTAGTATTTTTTTTAAACACAAAAAAGGGGAGGAAATCCATATAACCAACTAGTACATTGATAAAACCTGAAAACACATGGAACGTACAGCACTTGTAAACCTCCCGCCTTCAGATGGGAATGGGTTGAGAGTATTCCCTTAATATTTCTTCTTTTGAGCCATACTTGTTCTTTGTAATTTTGCTGTGTTCACTTTTTTGGGTTTGAATGTTCTTTCCATTGGAGTCATTGTGTATGTTTTCTTGGCTCTGCTTACTTCATTGTTCATCAGTTCATGTATATCTTTCCTTGCTTCTCTGTATTCATTACAATCATCATTTTTCCAGCACAGTAATATTCCATTACGTTCACATATAATTTTTCAGCCTTTCTCCAGTCAACGATCATCTATTTTGTTTCGAGTTCTTTGCTTTCACAAAAAGTGCTGTTATAAGTATTTTGGTATATATGACTTTTATCAGTGGCTTCCTTATGGTATATAAGTCCAACAATGGAATCTCAAAAAGTATGACATTTAGTTACTTTGTTTACATAGTTCTGAATAGTTCATAGTGCTTTCTAAAAATAGTTGTAACAAAACAAAACAAAAAAGGTTGTTATCAATCCATAGCTCCACTTACAATGTAGTAGTGTGCACAACTTCTCCAACATTGACCATTTAAAAAATTTTTATCATTTCTGAAGAATTTTTGGTGAGCTTTTAGACTTAATGGATACAAATGAGATTTTGAAAGATGTCTTTTGCTTTCTTAATTAATCTGTCCATCACTGGACTCTCTACATATACTAAATTTTAGATTTCTTTCATTGCAGGCCAAGATTACTCCTCCACAGCATGGTCATCTGGTACTGAATCTTTGTGGCAGGCCACAACTGTTCCATCAAGCACTCGTAGTAGCCACACCCGACGACATAGCATAGCTTCTGACAGTGGGGACACTGGCATTGGAACCTCCTGTTCTGACAGTGTGGAAGGTGAGTTAAATTGATGAGCCATAAGAAATTATTAGACTACTTAATGATGATTATGACCTGAGAAAATTCAAAGAGTATCTGTTCCATCATTTCTAATTGATATATTGGTAAATACTAATAGCATACTAATTTGCAAGAGTAATTTTTAACGATCCTTTATCTCATGTATAATTACTTTGGCTTGTAAGATGAAGTCATTTTTTCCGCTATATTTTTGTTTATGTTCTTTTCTTAGAAACATTCGATTTAAAACATTTGATAGCCTAGTTTGATAGTTTATTAAAATTAGTTTTCTTTATTCTGATTATCATAATATCCGTTGACAGATCTTACAAAATGTCTTGTTAAATTTAATATTATGTTAAATGTATGCAATAGAAATGTGAGAAGTTTTTCTAGAATTCAAAATGGATAATGTAAGTTTCTTAGCACATTGTGATTGTTTTGACAGAATCTGTTGTTTAACCTAATGTGCCATTGCTGGGCTAGCAATTACATAGAATATAAATATTATGGACTCAATCTATATTTTTGTAAATTTGCCAGACATTCTAAAACATAAATATGGAAAGAAGCGAAATATGTACAAGGCAGAGTACATGTGGTGCTATACAAAGATCAGGAATGAGTAAATCAAGAGAGTGGCAGTCTGAGTTAGATTTAAGAAACCCGGCATCTTAGTTTCGTCGACAAAAATTTTTGAAAATGAATTAAAGCCACGCATGGTGGCAAATGCCAGTAATCTCTGGTATTGAGGATGCTGACTCCGGCTGATCTCTTGAGCTTGGAAGGTCTGAGCTGCAATGGTCTAGGTTGATCCAGTATTTGCATTAAATTTAACAATAAATAATGACCCTTCCCACAGCCAAGCCATGTTCTACCAAGTTGCCGAAGAATGGACAGACCAGCCCAGGTTGGAAACAGGGCAGGCCAAGGATCCTATATCAGTCAGAGTGGGACTGGGACCATGAGTTTAGCCCCTGCACCTCTAACCTCAGTGATTTAGGGAGAGCCAGTCTTTTTTTGGGGGTGGAGGGGGGAAGGAAGAAAAGATAAGAAAAAATGATTTTTATTATGTGATAGTCTTTATTTAAAAAAATCTACCCTTTTCTGTTCTCTTTAAATTTTAACTCTGATAGTTGTAGTTTAAAAGACTAATAATTATACTTACTAACATTCATAAAGTGTTTTAAGACTCACAAAATACTTTTATAAATGCTTTTTTTTTTTTGGTGACACAATTGGGGTTAAGTGACTTGCCCAGAGTCACACAGTTTGTGTGTTATGTGTCTGAGGCTGGATTTGAACTCAAGTCCTCCTGACTCCAGGGCCTGTGCTCTATCCACTGCGCCACCTAGCTGCCCCATAAATACATTTTTAACTCAACAAACACCAAAAAAAAAGCATTTCTATATACAAAGGAGATAAAAAAAGCTGTATGTGAAATCATTGTTCTTACTGCTTACTTAAAAATTCTACATTTAGCCCATCATTTTCAAAACTGTCCTTATGTTATGCTTCCTTCTTAATTTACTTTTTACTCTTTAGCATTTGTAAAAAACATTTCAGTGGTGCTCCTTTTTTCTTGCCTCCCCCCCTTTTGCATCACCATTACCATATACTTCTTCTCTGTTTCCATTCAAAAAATAGAAAAAAAATCACTTGTAATGTATAAACATAGTCAAACAAAATGAATTTGCACAGTGGCTATTTCCAAAAATATGTGTCCCTTTCCATACCTTCTATCACTTCTGTGTAAGGAAGTGAGTCTCAAATGCGAGATGCGCAGATTTAGAGAATCCATCCCAAATGTTCACATGGACTATTTGTGCCCAACCTGTGGTAAAGCATTCTGAGCTCATATTGGTCTGATCAGCCACAGTTGGACACACTGTAACTTGACTCTAACATCGAGAATGAACCAGGAAGTGAGTAATAGGCTTCATTGTGGGTCCTGTAGAGATGTGTTATGTCAATTAAAGTTTTTTACAGTTGTTTTTCTTGTAGAAATTATTTTCCTGGCCCTGCTTACTTCAGTCTTAGGATTCTTTGGAATCATCTTTTGTTATTTCTTACAGTGGAAGAGATTGTGAGGACTGATATCAATTGTGAGATGAGGGAGAAAAGGGCGTTCGTGGTAAATTAGTATTCTCTTACATTCATAATGGGCAGCTATGTGGCACAGTGGATAGAGTACTGGGCCTGGAGTCAGGAGTATCTCAGTTCAAATGTGGCCATAGACACTTAGTAGCTGTGTGACCATGTGTAAATCACTTAACTTCTGTCTTCCTTTATTTCCTCATCTGTAAAGTGAGGAAATTAATAACACTTTCCTCTCAGGGTTGTTGTGAGGATCAAATGAAATAGATAATGACTGTAAAGGGCTTAACACAATTTTTGGCACACAGTAAGAACTATATAAGTGTTATTTTTATTATTATTAACTTACTATAATCTTTTAAAGTAGCTTTCCAACTGATAGTCACTCTTTTACTTTCCAGTTTTTCCCCCTTTCCTCATCTTTTTCTTCTTTTAGTACCCACTTGGGCACCAGGAAGTTTGTTTGGCTTGTGACTGTTCTTTCCACTTTTTAATTTGATGTATTTCTACAGTAAACTCTGGGTATGTTTGTTAGAGGCAGCTAGCTGATACAGTAGATAGTACATTTGAACTGGAGTAGGAAGGCCCAAGTTAAAATTTGGTATAAGATGCTTTGTGACTGTGGGCAAGTCACTTGAACTCTGCCTCAGGCAGACAGAAATAGGAATGCTAATAGCACCTATGTCTCAGGATTATTGTGAGGATCAAGTGAGATAATATTTGTTAAAGTCCTTGGCAAATCTAAAGTGTCCTATACTGTGCTAGCATTTACTGTTATATGTATTCAGTCCACAATTGTCCAGTCAAGATAAAAATGAGGTTCACGTAATTATCCTATCTATCTAAAAACCCCGTCCCCTTTCTTGATAGTTCTATACTCTTCTCACATAACTCTATCATGAGAAATAGCAAGTTGTATTCCTCTTTTCTTCTTTCTACCCTCCATTCTCTTTCCAGTTTTAAAACTCAGAAATGAACCAGTCCACTCTTACATTCTTTGTGTTTCTTACTTAACACCTGGGGTGTGGGGATGAGAAAGGATCAACTTGCATAAAAATATTTATAGCAGCTCTTTTTGTGATAGCAAAGAGTTGGAAGTTGAAGTTAATTGGGAAATGGCTGAACAAGTTGTATATAATTATAATGGAATATTAACTGTGCTGCAAGAAATTATGAACAGGCAGATTTCAGGAAAGGCTGGAAAGACTTGTATGAACTGATGCAAAGTGAAGTGAGCAGAACTAGGAGAACATAGTACACAGTAATAGCAACACTGTGTGATGATCAACTGTGAATGACTTAGCTATTCTCAGCAAAGCAATGATCCAAGACAGTTCTTAAGGACTCATGATGAAAAATGCTATCTATCACCAGAGAAAAAACTGATGGGAGTCTGAATGTGTATCAAAGCATCCTATTTTTCACTTTCTGTATTTTTTCTTTTGGTGTTTTTTTCCCCCCCATTGGGTCTGTGTCTTCTTTTGCAATATAACTCATATGGTGATGTGTTTTGCATGATTGAACATACATAACCTATAACAAATTGCTTACTGACTTAAGGAGGGGGAAGTGAGAGAGGGAGAGGGAAAATTTGGAACTCAGAATTTTAAAAAAATGAATGATAAAATTGTCTTTGCATGTAACTGGGGAAAAATAAAATATTATTTTTTTTAAAGCTGCCCTATAGGCAGTTGGAGTTATGGAACTGGAGTGTAGGAGAGAATCTAGGGTTGAATATATAGATTTAGATGTTATATCCATAGAAAGGATATTTAAAGCAGTTTGCACAGTGAGCTCACCAAGTAAAGAAATGTAGAGAGAAAATAGAAGGCGGCTCAAAATAGGTCTTGGGAATGCACATGGTTTAGGAAGTATAATATGGATGATAAACCAGCAGATAAGGCTGAGGAATGGTAAGAGGGAAAGTGACAGGGGAGAGGTCACCATTCCTCAGTGTGGGAGACTCAGCATGTTTTTAGGAAGGAGAGAATGAACCAATAGATAGGAAGAGTAAAAATTAGATGGGGAGAAGGAAGATCATAGTGGAGTAATTGCAGGAAAAGACAGAAGGAGTTAAGATCCAAGGGTATTGGTTGATCTTGGTGAGGAAAAGGAGCACCTTTTCATCAAAGACTGAAGAGATTGTGAAGACTGATATCAAGGGATTGTGAAATGAGGAAGAAGAGGGTGTTCATGGTAAAATAGCCTTAGGAGGTAAACTCCTCAGTTGAGAAGGGTATTGGAAGGGTTGCTGTTGGAGTTAAGAAGAGAAGGTTTAGAACAGTCGCTGTGGAGTGTGGGATATAAAATCGATTAGGGAAGAGTGAAAAGATTGCTTTGCTAAAGTGAGGGCCCAGGAGAGATTAGATAACATAAGTTGTCATCATGGTTGTGTGACTTATTTTAGCTCGGCTCTGCAACATGTTAATAATAAGAGAGTAGAAGGTGAAAAGTGAAAATAATTCACAGTTGGAATTTGGCACAGTGTGAGTCACCATAAGACACAGGATTGAGGGAATGGGGAGTAGGGGTTACTATAAAGTTAAATTGGTTCAGATAGGGGAAAAAAAAGGAGAATGTAGCCAGAGAGGTGATGATAGTCCGGGTAAGTGCTTCTTCTCTCTCTCTCTCTCTTTTTTTCTTTTGGTTAGGCAGTGGGATTAAGTGACTAGCCCAGGGTCACACTAGTAGGTGTTATATGTGTGAGGCTGGATTTGAACTCAGGTCCTCCTGAATCCAGGGTCAGTGCCCTATCCCCTGTGCCACCTAATTGCCCCTGGGTAAGTGCTGAAGGTTGGAGAAATTGGAGGTTATGGAGAGTATAACAGATAGGCTTGGGGGGAGGTAGATAGAGATGGAATGAAAAGAAAAATAGATAATGGAATTTCAGAGTTCTTGTT